TATTTTCTTAATTTTGACTCCAAAATTGGTTAGTTGACAAATTCTCCCTTTTAACTCTATATGAAAAACGTGCTCGTTAGACAACCAATAATTAGTGTTCAAAAGAGAAAAAAAAAAGAAAAAAAGACAACCAATAATTTTGAACGTCAAAAATCCAACACGCAAAGATCAGAAAATTTCTTGGAATTTATCAAATTAAATACTTGGTCATATGAAAAACATGTGTCCAGTCTATGTTAAGTGAATTGCAAGATTATACTTTCTAAAATAAAGTCGTACAATAATTATCGAATAAGGCAACCATTCTCTTAAATAAAAAGTTTGAAGAATATAACTAAAATTCGTATTAATATCATTTTGTTAGTTCTATTAATATATACTAGACTTTGATCCGCACGACCGTGCGAGTTTTTTTTTTTTTTTTTTTAATATTTTTTCGCCTTTTATGATACATTTTCTACAGTTAATTAGTCGTACTACATTGAATTATTTTTGGTGGCTGTTAAAAATTTATTTAAGTCATATAAAAAACTAAACCTCAGATAAGTACACCCACAGTGTTTATTTGTATTTTTTCATAAATACATATTTATTTTTATAATTGATAATATATATTTTAAATTTACTCATTTAAATAATTATTTAATATTATATTTGTAAACACAATAATTAAATATATTATAGAATTAATTTTATTTTATCTTGTAAACCATCAATTGTATTATGACTATTTTTAGAATATGATCCGTATATTTTTTAAAATATATTTTTATATTTTTAGGAATCAGAATTTTATTATAATGTATAATAAAATTAATTTATATATTATTTAAAATATATAGTGCTATATATTATATACTTTTCAACATTTAAACATATATTTTTATATTAATATATATTATATAAATGATTTTTATTTTAGTTATTACTGATAGATAAATTTTTTTTTTTCAAAATAATATGTTGAGTAACTATTTATAGCTAGGTTTATTAAATACTTATTTATTTCCAAACACTTGTATATATAAAAAGACAAAAAATACTAAAATATAGGTTTATTGATTATTGTTTTCATAATTTTTTAGTTAGATTTAATTTTGGAAATGCATTAATTAGATATAAAAAGAATTCTAAAAAATAGGGTAATTAATAATTTTAGTGGCATGCTTTTGTAAATAAGTTAAAAAATAAAGTGGTATTTTCTATATAGATAATTATGTTTTAATAAAATAGATAAGATGTTTTTGTTAAAACTTGGTCATATGAAAAACATGTGTCCAGTCTACGTTAAGTGAATTGCAAGTTTATACTTTGAATTACCAGAAGTCGTACAATGATTATCGAATAAGGCAACCATTCTCTTTCAATTACCTGAAATAAAAAGTTTGAAGAATATAACTAAAATACGTATTAATATCATTTTGTTAGTTGTATTAATATATATGAGATGTTTTTGTTAAAATAATAGTATTGGTTATTATAAAACAGATTCTCGCAGTGTCACAGTTTTGACTAACAATATTGGAGTTTTGTTTAGTTAATTTGCAAATCATCGAAATAGATAAGCCTCAGTTCAAAAAAAAAAAAATCAGAATAGATTAAGAAAAATAGATGGTACTTTAGTTAAATGGTTTTTGTTGTATACATTTATTATATCTTTTGTGTATTATTTTCTGAATAACATAATACTTTGAACGGAAACAAAATATGCCTAATTAGGTAAACAAGAATGAAAGAAAGAAATTAATATTTTTGTTAGACCAGCTTGAGGCCTGAAACTCTCTAGTTTTAGGGTTGTCGAGAACTTTAGGTTTAACTAGTTACGTTTTTTTTTAGTTACATCATATGTATTATGGGATACTATTTTTTATATATTTTACTCTAAAATAGAATAGTTCTATAATAGAATTGAATGTGTTTCAATGATTCACTTTATAATAGAACTATTCTATTATTGTGTGAAATATCGATGAATATTTTTTTATTTTATATTTAGAATAAAAATAATAATATCCATGTATATTTCACACTATAAAGAATAATTCTATTATATAGTAAACTATTGGATCAAATTCAACACTATAATATAATTACCTTATTTAAAAAAAAATATAAAGAAAAAATAGTATTTCACTAGAGGTGTCTTAAAGATTAACAGAATGATTAAAATATTAAATTCGAAAAATAACACAACAGGTGATATGATTTTGCATAAAATGTTAAGTTTAAAATAGTGAATGTTTTTAGCTATATAAAATATATTGTTGAAAATTTTAAACGTGCAAAGGTAAAAATGTTTGTTATAAATGGTAAAATAATAGTTCTGCGGTTTTTTGTTGACTTATCTTCTATTTGGAATGGTTCTGTGAAATTATGGTGACCTGTTATCAGTATTTGTGGCTCATGGGTGATAAATGATAAGTGTGTCGTAATATTGGTCTCAGAAGTCCTGATGAAAGGACAGGTGTCTGGTTTGGTTTTGGGGATGAGTCCAAGAACACAATACGAGATCGGAGATGTTTTTTTTTTGGACTTTACTGATTGAAAAATAATTTTTTTTTTATCTTCAAAAAAAAGCTCTAGTTTTTCTAAACGTGGCGTATTTAATTTGTTAGGACACAAGGTTGTCACATGTTATCGGACAGGGGTTTGAATTGGTAATATGCTGTCCTTAAAATTATAGAGTATTAGTGGTTAATCCGCGCTTCGCGCGATCCTATATTTTATTGTTTATAGAATTTGTGTGTGTTTATTGTATGAGATATATCTCCTTTAATGATTGTGGTTATTTTAAATAATGAGATTTGTTGTTATTTTTCAGCAACTCGCACATGAGACTAACAATTGTTTGTTTAATGTTTATTTCAGAAGTTGTCATCTGTATCGATGAAGTTTGTATTTGGACTCTGTAACTGAGTAAGACAGTGTTATCATGAGACTCGTTGAACTCAGAGGTGGATATGGGCATAAACCAGTAAAAATATTAGTATTGGCCTCGAAAATGTATAAACATTTTTTTATCAAATAAACCCTCAAATTTTGAAAGAAAATATTTTTTACCAAAATTCTTGAAAAAATGTATCAAACCTCTAAGATCTCTAATCTGATCCTAATTGGACTTCAGTTCTAAAGTTAAGTAAAATTATTTACAGTGACAAACTCCTTATAATGAGGTGTGCGAAGTCCTTAAGTCGGACCATCACACAAACTGAAACCCTCTTTCATGGAACACACAATCAAAAGGTGAAAACTCTATATAAAATAAGTTGATGCAGTGCAAAAAGGAAGATGGGTGGTGACTCGGTGTAAAAAATCATATTTTACTTTATTTAAACTGAAAATGAAGTGTCACAATACTTTAGTATATCTCTAATGTAACACTTTAACCTTTATATGATATTTCCTTTTCGTTATGTATTTAAAAACTGTATTGTATAAGTTTACTTCTTTTGCTATTTTTATAATAATAAATGTATAAACAGTGTTTATAAAATATAAATTATAAAGTTTAAATACATTTTTTGGTCAAATACAGTTTAAATATTGTTTGGAAGAATTTCAGTTATACTACTTTGGTGGTACCACTTTTCATGTTTACCATCAACAAAGGAACATTTTCAAAAATACACATTTTATTAAAGGATAAAAGACTCTTATATCATTGTTCTTTATATATATACATAAAATAAATATTAAATAAAATATTAACCCTAAACCCTAAAACATTAATTCTAAACTCTAGGCCCTAAAAAGTAAACCCTAAACCCTAAAAATCAACCCTAAACCCTAAAATATCAATTCTGAACCTTAAACCCTAAACTCTAAACCCTAAAAAGTAAACCCTAAAAAATCAACACTTAACCTTAAACTATCAATCCTAAACCCAAAACCGTAAACCCTAAATTCTAATAGTATTTTGACTATTAAAATTTTAATGGTAAAGTTGGTTAGTGTAAAGTTGAAAATTGGTATCTTGAAAGTGTTAATTCTGGCAATTTCTCATATTTTTTAGGTTATTCAATGTATATACACAAAATTTTGGGTAAACTTCTAGGTATCTACATAATATCAACTGCTCCTGGTTTGCTCTCAATAGATTTTCCTCACACCGAAACCAAAACAGCTTTCGATGATTTCTTCATGTTATCTTTACAAGTAGTAGGCTTGAGATCCATCCGCCATTTGTTTTTTTTACGTATTCTTCCTTGTGTGTGTCTCAGCTTTGTTTCCTTATATTTTCAAGTAAATTCAATAGAATCCATCTTACTGAATCACTTGTCCAATTGAAGAAGGATTGCATCTGCAAGAAACAAATAATGTTTGTAAGCCACAATAAATAATTCACAAACTGATGTCTTAGATTTTCCAAGCTTTAATGACTAAATCTCAAAACAATGCCATTTTGTAACTAAAGGAATCATAACAACCTTCCTCACGTGAAGATTAAAGAAAAACAAAATTCAAGATCTTGAGAGTTTTTTAAGAAGATTTTGTTATGGTTTCCATCGATTTGACTGAAGTTTAATTAAATTTGTATCAAATGGAAGCTAGCAGTAGAAATATCCACTTTCTTACACACTATTTGGAGCATCTTTCGAAACCAAGATGAAAGTATTCACTCACTGCAAAATACTTGATGCCCGCATTGCTCAAGCGTTTGATAGGATCATCGTGCATCAAAGCAGAGATTTTGGACCACTTTTTCTTCGTCTGATGAAGCTTGTTGCTCAGGTTAATCTGAGAAGCAACGCAGCTGCCCATTTGTTTGGAGGATTTCTACTACGTTCACCAGCTAGTAGCTCAAACAAATCAACTTCCTAGCAACAAAGGAACAATAAGTTGTAAGAGAAATTAAAAGATTTATTTCCTTAATCCTTCCCAAAAGCATGTTTCAGTAAAATCTTCTGCAGTTTCAGACACACTAAATAAACCATCCACAAAAGACATTTCTACATCACCTCCTCTCACGTATGTGCCTCGTACAAAGCTCTGCTTCGTCTTCAGTGGTTGTTCAGGTAGTCGATGGCTGCATTAACATGTTTTCTCACCTGCTCAGAATTAATACTAAGTTAGAAAATAATAAACTGTTTCAGTTAGATTAGGATGGTGAACAACTGGATTTAGAATGAGGAACAAACAGATTTGACCCACACATAACACAACCTTTACTGCCCTGCAACAATCTAACTGAAAGAGGAGAGAAAGCGTAGGATTAAGGAAAGACATCAATCTAATTCAGAGTCGAATATTGGAGGCAATAAAATCTGATTATAGTATCCTAAAATGAAAAAAAACACTTGCTTTGTAATAAATATTACGATCTCTATACCTTTCACAGATCTACACAAACATAAACCATTTTAAAAGGACCATATTCTGTAGAGATTTAAAACGAATGAGAGCTAATCGTGTTCTTACATTCTCATATAGCAGCAACATGTCAAGGCTCATCAGTTCTCCGGAACGGATGCTGTTCCTGGAGGTGTTTCTCGCCTTCCAAAACCGCAGAAGTCGGAACTCCGCCGTGTTCGAGCAACGAAAGGCCTTCAAATCAGCAAGAAGAGTGTAGGAATTTGCCATTGAGGGAATAATTTTACTGCATTTTTTTCGTGAGCGTTTGCGATGAGCTCAACATCTTTGGAGTCGGAGGTATTTATAATCAAACTACTAACCGTTTCGTTGGGAGTCGAAGAGATGAAGTTTATGGTTCTGACTGTGCTTAGAATCAAAAGGTGAGAGTAAAGAAGAAATTAATGGGAACCGGAGCGGTTACGATTGTACATCGTGTTCTTGCGGCGATATGGACGAGGAGCAGACTCGGAAAGGTAGGGAAGAAACACAGAAAATCTAATTAATAATGGGCCTCTAATAACTCTACATAAAGCCGGCCCAACATCTTATACAATTAACCTGTCAAACCAACGTAATAAAAACCGGAATGGGAAACTTAATTTCGGTTTGTTTTCAGAAAGCAATTGCTGAGGTGGATTTTTTTGCCCCACTCTCTAATGCTGAGTTGGACACCCTAAGAAGGGAGAAAAGCCAACTTTATTATATAAGATACGGAATTCTTTGATATTAATCTATATTATAATAGTACACTTTCTAGGCTCCACAATGCGCTATGTCAGCAGTTTTGTGGGTCCCATAGGTATTTTTAAAAAACTTATAGTTTTGGTAAGATGATTACAAACAATGAAATACACTTTAGCCAAGTGGTATAAGGTGTCTAATTAAGCATACAAGATCGTGGGTTCAAACCACGCAGCCATCATTTATTTTTGATTTTTTTATTTGGGTTATTATCATAGCGGCTTTTTGTTTGTAAGGTTTTTATGTTTTTTTTATGACTTATTGTTTTAAATATCAAAATAGTTGGATAAACCCTAAAGCTTAACGAGTTCAAACTAAAAATAGTTAAAAATGGATGCAAAAACGAACAATAAAAAAACAAAAAAAAAGCAAGTCTCACGCGGTTGCCTACGCGGATGGCTTAAAGAGCCTTAAAATTATCCTATTATAATATAGTTCAACCCAAAAATAATAAAAAATGAATCCAAAAACGAACCGACCAAAAAAAAAAAGTGAATCCCACGCGGCTACCTACGTGGATGGCTTAATGAGGCTTGAATAATATAGATTACGAGCTCAAAAAGTGAAATCATTGCACATATTTCCTAATATATATTTTCAAAAAAATTGTATGTGAGATAAAATAAAAAAACAACAAAAAATAATTATTTTTGTTATTTATTATTGAATATGTAATTTCTCTTACATTTTAATAACTACTATAATTTCATTGAAAACATTCCTCACCACCGATTTCAGACTCCGGCGAATGGATTCCCACAGTCGATGACGCCGTAAATAAAAATGCCACATCATTTATGAACGAAACTCAAACTTACAAAACAAAATATATAAAAACCTATCTAATGAAACTTAAACAACGAATGTTAACTTAATTAAGGTAATTTCAAATTGATAAATCGTTTAATACAAATATAAATACTATAAATATAGAATTATATCAAGTTTTGACCTACGATATAAAAACTATTTACAGCAAAACAAAACACCTACTTTTACACACTAAAAATTATATTATAGCCTTACTATTCCTATAAACTTACTTCGCATATAAATAACATTTAACTCATTCCTAATATATTTTCAAAAAAATTGTATGTGAATTAGAATAAAATAAACAACAAAATTTAAGTATTTTTCGTTATTTATTAAATGAATATGTAATTTCTCTTACATTTTAATAACTACTAAATTTCATTGAAAACATTCCTCACCACCGACTCTAGACGGCGAATGGATTCCTCGATGACGCCGTAGATAAAAAATGCCACATCATTTATGAACAAAACCCAAACTTACAAAAAACCATATATAAAAACCTATCTAATGAAACTTAAACAACGAATATTAACTTAATTAAGGTTATTTTTAAATTGATAAATCGTTTAATACAAATATAAATACTATAAATATAGAATTATATCAAGTTTTGACATACGATATAAAAACTATTTACAGC